TTTTTTAAAAAAAATTTTTTAAAAAAATTTTTTTTTCTAAAAAAAAACTGATTTCTTCATCTTTTTTTTTTTTTTTTTTTTAGGAATTAAGATATTTATAAAAAACATATTAATTTTATCTTATTATTAATATCAATATTTTAAAAAATAATCAAAGTACTAAATGCATATATATAATAAAAAAAATGAATTTTTTTTTTTTATTTTTTTAAAACAATATGGAATTATTTAATTCCTATTTAAAAAAAAAAGATAATGGGTGAGAAAAAAAGAATTTCATTGGTTGAAAACCACAAAAAACTAAATTTAAAAATTCTTATTTTAGGTATTTTAATAAACTATGGAATAAGAATAAAAAAAAAAAATATACACAAAATTAGATTCAAACTAAAAAAAAAAAATATATCATTGTTTGATAAGTATTTTTTATTTTTAATATTAAAAAAAAATAAAAAATAAAAAAAATAAAAAATAAAAAAAAATATATGCATCTAATATATAAATAGCTAGATAAATAACTTATAAAAAAACAAGATATCAAAAATACCAATAGCTCCCCGCTTACTTCCTTTACAAATTTATTAATTTTTCTAATTTCATTTTGCCCTTAAATATTAACACACATAAATATTTTTTTATTCATAAACTACAAAAAAAAAAACAATACCAATACACCCAACCCCCTTTTTTTTAAATTTTTTTTTCTCCTAAATTCGAGTTCAACACACTCACATAAAAAAAGAATTCATTGTGATATTAAAAAAAAAAAAGTAAACATTATATCAATTTAATTTATTTTTGTTTTTATTTATTATATTTCCTTTTTTTTTTTTATTTAAATATTATTTTTTTTTTATTTATATTTTATTGTTTTTGTTTATTTGATTTTTTTAAATTAATAAACAAAAGTTAATAGGTAGTTAATTTAAAAACTATATTATTGTAACTATAAAAAATGTCATCCTATATAACAGAGGAACAAGCACAACAAACATGTGGAGCATCACCTAATATGAACCCCCCAATACTTTCCAATATTCCACAACAAATGCAACCACCACCAATGTATTATTACCAAACACCTATTAATCAAAACGACATACATTCCATCGATGATAACAACAAAAACCACAAAAGAAGAAAAAATGCTATTGTTCAGTTGGACTACTCTAAAGACTATTCTTATTCAATCACATTTCTAGTACTTGGTATTTTCTTTTTCTTGCCACTCATTTTTAACATGGCCTACATCCGTTCCCCAAATAACAAAGCTAGAAACATTGCTTTAGCCTCTCTTATCCTTGCCAGTTGCCAATTTGTTACTATTATTTTTGTAACAGCTGTTTTATGTAGTACCAATTATTCAGACAATAATCATTATTACAATAATCATTACTATTAAAATAGATCCAAAAAAACTAAAATTATAATATAATAATAGTTAAAAATATTAGTAATTATTAATAAAAATCTATTAAAAAAAAAAAAAAAAAAAAAAAAAAACAATAAAAAAGATTATAAAAAATTTAAAAAATAAAAAAGGAACACCATAACAAAAAAAAAAAAGATAATTTTGGCCCCCTAACCCCATATAATATTTATAATTTAATAAATACCCTTTTTATATGTTTTTATAAAAAAAAAAAGAATTATTTTTAATATTATGGTATACAAAATTTGATTTTTAAAAATTAATTTTTTTGAAAATTTATTAATTAAAGATTAAAATATGTAAAAAACTGCTATCTATGGATCAAAAAGAGACACTATATTAGTATATTATTTTACTCATTAATCCATGTCACCAAAATATAAAATATAAAATTTAAAAAATATCGAAACGAAAGAATATTTTTTTAAATTAAAATGCTCTTTTTTTAAAATGTGTGTCCTTTTTTACATCAAGTTAAATACTTAAAAAAAGAAGAAAAAAAAAAAAAAAATTAATATGAATACTTTCATTGTGATAAGATATAAAACACCCCCCTTAATAAAAATAATCATTGTTTTATCTTATTAAAAATTTTGATTATCTTTTTTTTTAGGATTAATTTTTTAATATTTAAATGTAAATATATCCATATTAGATTTTAAATTTCCTAAAACCCGTTTAATTCAGACATTATAGTAAACTATCTAAATTAAAACTATGTTTGGTTTTTTTTTTCGGGATATATGGGGAAAAAAATTAAAAAAAAAAAAAATTTTAGATTTTCCTACCACTCTTTTTATACTTGAGTACATATTTAGGGGTTGGGGAATAAAAATTTTGAACTTTTATAAATATATATATTCTTTTATTCCTAATATATTTGTTAGTTCATTTTATCTACAGTTCTTTTTTAATTTTTTTTTTTATATCAATTTTTTTTTATTATTTTTTAAGAAAAAAAAATTGTAATTATAACTTATAATAATAAAAATAATAATATTAACAATAGCAATAATATAAATATATAAAAACTATAATTATACAATATTATTTATTTATTTTTTATTTTTTTTTAATAAAAATAAAAAAAATTATATAAAAAAAAAAATGAAATTATATTATTTATTAATTTGTATTATAGCAATATTTATTACAATTACAAATTCATGTAAGTACAATAAATAACATCGAAATGTAATTAATATAATATGTAGATTATTAACATGCAACCATAGTGGAATTTAGAACATATAGTGGTGAAAATAATAATATTAGAAATCCAAATCAAGGTGCGTCAAACAAACCATTTACAAGAATTTCAAAACCCAAAAAATTTAATGTTAAGGATTCCCCTGCAATCACTACAACAATACCAAGAGTAGTTAGTAATGTTGTATTTGATCAAACTCAAAGAATTACTTCAAAAGAACATCTAACTGATATGTTTAATGCTTGGGGAAGAGTAATTTATAATTATAAAATTAAAATTATAATAATAATAATAATAATAAATTTTTATTTTTATTTATTTAGTTTTTTAGTCGAAATATTGCATCTGCTAAACCAAATGAACAAAACAAATGGCCTATTATAGTACCAAAATGTGATCCTTATTATGACCCAAAATGCACCGGATCAAAGACTATGGATTATTATAGAAGTGAATATACCCAAATACCATGTACTGAAGAAGGAACAGTTATGGAAGAAGATGGTAAATGTTATGATCAAATCAATGGTGTAAGCTCTTATCTTGATGGGAAATCTATATATGGTAACAATGAGGATATTTGTCAAAGTTTAAGAACACACCAAGGTGGTGAAATGAAAATGAATCAAACACCAGAACTAGGTGATTTACCACCAAAGAATGTACCAGGTGTTCCAGTAGATAATGAAGGTAACCTTTTCCCAACAGAACAATTGTATAGTGTAGGTGAAAGAAGAGCCAATGAGAACCCAGGTCTTCTTGCAATTCATACACTTTTTTTAAGAGAACATAATAGAATCGCAAGAAGGTTTGCCAAAACCTATTCTGACTGGGACGATGAAACAATTTTCCAACGTTCTCGTTCATGTATCATCGAACAAATTCAGAAGATTACCTATGAAGAGTATTTACCACTTCTTTTAGGATATTTCGCAAACTATACAGGTTACAATCCAAATATTAATTCTCAGGTTTCAAATGAATTCTTTTCAACAGCATTCAAGTTTGTTCATAGTGAAATGGCATCCAGCGTTGAATATTATGATGAAGATGGTAGCCGTTTACAACCACTGCCACTAAAATTCTCTTTTTTTAATCCCCACGCTTTAAACCAAGGTATTGAACCTCTTATACGTGGCCTAATCCTAAATGAAGAAGAGAATGTCGACACCAGTGTAGTTTCAGACCTTAGAAATAATTTATTTGGTAAACCAGGTCAAGGTGGTTCGGATTTGGTCAGTATAGATCTCCAAATGACACACGATCACGGTATTCCACTATACAACTCACTAAGAATGCAACTAGGTCTCAGAGTTGCCACCAATTGGTCCCATATTACAAGTGATGAACCAACCCAAAATCGTTTAAAGCAAGCATATAAAACAGTAGATGATGTTGATGCTCTTACAGGCGGTCTTGCCGAAGATCATATGCAAGGTAGTTGTGTAGGTCAATTATTCTATTCAATCATATATGAACAATTCTATAGAACTAGAGCTGGTGATAGATTTTGGTATGAAACTCCATCCATTAAAATACTTAATCGTGAATGTGGTACCACTTCCTTTTCAAATATAATTAAAAGAAACACTTTAAATATTGGTGATATTCCCTTAAATGTTTTTAAAAAATAAAAATAAAATGCTAATTTATTAAATATTTATAAATTTTAAAAAATTTATTAAAAATAATATTTTATTAAAAATAAAATAATATTAAATTGCTACCTAAACCAAAACCAAAATCAAGCCACATATGACATCTGACTAAAGTTTATAATAATGGTATTCGAATTACGTGTCAAATGTCAAATTTTTTTTTAATTTTAATTTTTATTTTTTTTATTTTTTTCATTTATTTTTTTTTAATTTAAATTTTTTTTTATAAATTAAAATTTTTTTTTTAAAATTTCATTCCATTTTTTTTTTTTAGAAAAAGTAAATGAATAAATCTATAAAATTAATTAAACATTTAAATAATAGTAATAAAATTATTCCAATCAAAAGAACAATGTCAACATCAGCAAAACCATTCGACGATAAATTTGGTAGTGTTTCAAAAAACTATAAAAATTTTAGACCAACCTATTCCGACGAACTTTTTTCAATCATTGATGACTTCTGTGCCAAAGATAAAAGAGATTTAGCAATTGATATTGGATGTGGATCTGGTCAAGCCACCGTTAGATTATCAGAATATTTTAAAAAAGTAATTGGTTACGAACCATCAGAAGGTCAAATTCAACACGCCGAACCAGCCAAAAATGTAGAATACAAAGTCTCTACCGCTGAAAAAATCGACTTACCAAATGAATCTGTTGATTTAATTACAGTAGCACAAGCAGCTCATTGGTTTAACCTCCCAGTATTCTATGATGAAACAAAGTAATTATTTATAATTTAAATATTTTTAAAATAAAGTAAATACTAATAACTAAATCATCATAATTAACAATAATAATAGGAGATTACTCAAAAACGATGGTTCATTAATTATTTGGTCATATGGTTTAATGAATATCACCAATAACGATGCAGCTCAAAAAATTCATCAAAACCACTACTACAAAACCATCGGTAATCAATATTGGGCTCCAGAAAGAAAATACATTGATGACGAATATAGAGACATCAAGCCAACTTATGAAAACACCACAAGAAAAACTATCTCATTACCAGTAAATATTAATTATAATATAATAATGATAATATAGCATTTATTAATTTTTTTTTTAATAATAGAAAAAAATGTCAATTAATGACTTTGTAGGATACTATTCATCATGGTCAGGTTATGCAAATTATTTAAAAAAAGGTAACCCAGATGTTTTACCTTCAATTAAACAAACTTTATTGGATGCATATAACACAACTGATGAAGATTCAAAAATTATCGATTGTTATTTCCCAGTTTATATGATTTTATCAAAGAAAAATTAATTTTGAATTATTATAAAAATAATAATAAAGTAATAAAATAAAAACAATACTATCACATCATTGCTACAACAAATTAACAATTCAATAATTAATATAATTATTAGAAAATAAATGGGTTATCAGAAGCATATGGATGCAGCAGTTTTTATATTGGAAAAAAGTAAAAAAATAAAAAAAAGTAAGTATTAATATATTTATAATATAACCTCAACATTAACAACCAAATAATAACAATTTTTTTTTTTTTTTTTTTTTTTTTTTTTACTACTAAAATTGTTTGAAAACTATTAGTAAATCATTCTTTATTATTTAGTAATTTTTATATAGGTTATATCTTTTTTTTTTTTACAATTATTGTATCAGTTAATGCATGCACATGCTATCTCTCTTGTTGTTTACATCTAATATAAATCTGTATGGTATGGTAATTTTTATTAAATTCTTTTATAGCAACAAAAATAGTAATATATATTTTTACATTATCAATATATAAATATTTTCACTCTCACCCTTTGCAGCATATTTTTTTCATACATCTTTTTTCTGTGTGTTAGTGTGTTAGTGTGTTGAATTGCAGAATATTTTATAGTTGTTAACAATTCAATTATTTCACCCTCACCCTAACCCACTTCACACATATACTATTGTTAGTATATCCAAAAAATTTTCATACACTCTCACATAAATAACACTGTTCATTTGAATAGTTTAAAATAAAACTATTATAATAATACACACATTTTCAATTAACGACAACCAAATTTTCGATAGCATAATATATTATATTACCATTAAAAACAACACATAAATAGGTTTATTTTTTTTTTTTTTTTTTTTTAATATTATTTATTATTATTTATTATTTTTAAAAAATTATTTAAACTCTTTTTTTTTTTAAATTATTTATTAACATTATTTATTAAAACCATATAGAATAAAGAAATGAAATTATTATATGCATTATTAATTATCCTTATTATTGCCCATGCTTGTTTTGCCGAGCAACCCAATGCCAAACCCAATAATAAAAAAGTACAATATTCAAATGCAAAATCAGAAACCAATAACGAAAATAATAACAACAAAAAAGTCAATGATGCAAACAATAATAATGCCAATAATGTTAACAATAATCAAGAATCAGAGTTCCATTTACCATGGTTCATCCATACAGACAAACAAGAATTTGAACTATTTACAAATGAAGTATTATTAAGTGTCCAAAAATCAATCAATTCAAAAAATGTTGATGAAACAAACAATAGCAATAATTGTATTAGAGCCGCCTTTGATAAACTTGACAATTCAAATAAAAATGCTGCATCTTCTCAAGAGGTTCCATCTTTTAATTACTTTATTAAATTAATTTCAGAATTCTCAAAGAAATGTAACATTGAAGCTGCTACCAATAAATTAGTAAACTCACTCAACTACATTTATTCAAATGGCTTCAAATCATTCATTCCATACTATTACAATAATTTATCAAATGAACAACAAGTCGTCAATTGTTTCAAATCTGCCGTTAGCTATTCATATGACCGTTCTTTACAAGCTGATAAATTAGGATCATGTTTTGCCGGAGTTTTAGTAAATGAAAAACAACAACAACAAGTTCAACAAAAACAACAACAAATTGAACAACAAGCTCAACAACAACAAGCTCAACAACAACAAGCTCAACAAGCTCAACAAGCTCAACAACAAGCTCAACAACAAGCTCAACAAATTGAACAACAACAAGCTCAAAAAGCTCAACAACAAGCTCAACAACAACAAAAAGCTGAACAACAAATGCAAAAACAAGCTGAACAAAAAAAAATTGAACAACAAATCCAACAAGAAGTTGAAAAATACCAAAAAGAACAAGCTCAATTAAATAAAAACTAAATTAAAAAATAAAGTAAAAGTATCATTTTAAAATTAAAATATTTGTAAAAAAAAGCTTTATTTATTTACTGTTTTAGGAAAAAATTTACTTTTTTATTTTTATAAATTTTAAAAATTATAAAAAAACAAAAAAATAAAAAATAATTAAATTAAATTTTTAATTTTTTTATTTTTTAAAATTTTTTTTTTTTGTAATTTTTAAAAAAAAAATTTTATTATCAATTTATTTTTCTAATTAAAATAATTGTTTTATTTGTATTTTTTATTTGTAATATATTTTTATTAACTTATTAAATAGTCTTTCAATTTGTTTGTAGTTTATTTTTATTGTATATTTCTATTTATAAAAAATAATAGTATTTAATACAACAATAAGATGGGGGAATTTCTTTCAATTTATTCAGAATTTGCAAAACGTTTAGATTTCACATTCCTTGGCACAAAATATTCATCACAAATCGAAGATAACGAATTACCATCAAAAAGATACCATTCAAGATATCATCTAAACAACAATGGAACATATAGTTATATACCCGATCATTTATTAGCACCATTCGAAAATAATGAAGTCAATCCAGCTAGTAGTTTAGTTAATGCTTTAAATTCGATTAGAAATCTATTAAGATTTTTACAAAATAATAACAATGATCCCAATTCCAATAATGCCACTAATAATAATAATAACAATAATAATAATAACAATAATAACAATAATAATAATATCATTAATAGCAATATAACATCAACAATGGATCTACTGAATGTAATAGTTGAACATGAAATTTTGTTTAATAGTTTTGGTCAAAATAAATATTTAAAATATGACTATCTACATTCATTCATTTTCTCTGTTTTAGAAGCTATAAATCCAAATGAGAGAAGATATACCACAATAATACCAATCTATAGAGATTTTATAAATTTACACCACCCAACTAATAATAATAATAATAATAATAATAATAATAATAATAATAATAATAATAATAATAATAATAATAATAATAACAATAATGAATGCTTAACAATTTTTAGTATTATTTTCAACAATGGGACTTTTGAATATTTCAAATCTATATATTTAGAAGCTTTTTCAAAAAAAAAAACTCAAATTGATTTATGCCAGTTAAACAAAATAAGAGATAAAAAACTTGAACAAGAAATAAAAGAAGAATCAAATGAAGAAATGTTTATAAAAGTTTTTAAAGACTTCCTTGAAAAAAAAGATGACGATGAAGAAATTGATGATAATAAATCAACAACTCTTTTATCTAATACTCCATCAATAACATCAACATCAACATCAACATTACCATCAACATTATCATCAACACCAACATCATCATTATTAATATCATCAACATTAACATCAACAATTACATCAATATCAGCATTAATAAATCCCACAGTTGCAAGAAATTTCTTGGATAATAGTCAAGATAGTTATGGTGAAGATGAAAATTTTGAAGAAGATTTTGAATTTAATAGTGATGAGGCCGAAGAATCTGAAGATTTCGAATTTAATAGTGAGGAAGAAGAAGAAAATGATGAAGAAAATGATGAAGAAAATGAACAAACAAATACAACAAATACAAATAATGAAGAAATTATAAACTATGGATATAAATTTTCAAAATTTTTAGAAAAAAAGAAAATTTATTGTAGAGAAAAAAAATCAAAATTAAAAAAATATGACGAAGAATCAATGATATTAAACATCAATACGATCAACTGTGTATTATTAAATAAAGGCCGCTGGGATGATAACAAGGTATTTCCGGGATTTGAAATGTTTTTGACCAAATTAACACTAATAGACTCAAGTATTAATGATATTGAAAAACAATTGGGCAATTTAGTAAATCTAACCTATTTAAACCTGACACACAATGCAATTAAAGTACCAAGTTGTTTAAATGGATTGAAGAATTTTAAGAAATTAGAGTATTTGATATTGGACCAAAATAGATTTTCTTTAATTTTACCAGAGTCTTTCAAGGAATTAAAAAACCTCAAGTTCTTGTCAATGGTTAAAACCGATCTTAGAGATCTTATTCCAACTAGAATTGCATTAGAAAAAAATAGTAAACTTGAAGAGCTTTATATCGGTGAGAACTCTTTTACCCATCAATTTAGCTGTCTCAAGAGAAATAACTGTACACTAACAAGGACACTATTCTACAGAGAATATATGATATCTCACTTGGTCTCTTTAAAAATATTGGATAATCAAGAAATTACAGAATCTGAAAGATTGCAAGCAACTGAATTGGTAAGATTGAAATTTATAACTTGTGATTCATGGAGAGAAAAGTATCAAGTTAATCAAATTCATAAAGATATTTTAAATTTAGAAATTAATAATACTATGAAATGTAGAACCAATATCAACAAAACAACACCAAAGACAATATTCAAAAACTATACCGAATATCAAGATATATTAAATGAAAACCCAAGAGTAAATACTTTAGAAAAGATAGTTTATCCAAGACAACTGGAATATAATCCATCCATTCCAAACCTTATTGTAGTTGGTGCTATGAATGGCCGTGTCCACGTTTACGATGAAAACAAAGATGAAATTATTTATGACAATATTGTAAGCAATCCATCTATGATTTTAGGTCTTTCTTGGATAAAGAATTATCCTTGCTTTCTTGCTGGCTCTGAAAATGGTTCAATTAATCTATTCAACTTATCAAAAACAAAAAATCCAAAAAATCAAATTTTATCATTTGATCCATTTTATAAATTATCAAGTTTACATACAAATTGCCAATCCGATACAATGGTAGTAAGTGGCTCATGTGACTTTGTTTCGATCTATGATATAAATTCATGGTAAATATTTTAAATTTTAAAAAATAATCATAATTATTTATAAATTCTAACAAATTAAAACAGTACATTATTAAGAAAATTAGAAAAAGCTCATACCAAAAAAATAAATGTTGTTAAATATGCAAGTTATGATCCATATGGGTTTGTTACATCATCTTTTGATGGAACAGTAAAAAGATGGGATACAAGATGTTTAAATTCAGGACCAACTTTAACTTCAAAAGAATCATTTGGTGAAATTATTATGTCAGTTTTTAGTCCAGATGACCGTAGTATTTTAGTATCAGGATGTGATAATCAAGTTTATCAGCTTGATTCGAGAACAGGTACATTAAATATAAAATTTGAAATACATAGATCCAATCAAGAGTTCAATTTTTCACGTTCATATTATACAGCAGATGGCAATTATTGTGTTATTGGTTCATGCGATGAAAACTGTGTTAGATTCTATAGCACAAGTGATGGCAAATTTTTGCGTGACGTATCATTATTCGACCAAAATAAGTTTTGTGGTGATTCAGATGGTGTTCTATCACTACGTACCCACCCCTCAAATAATTTCGATGTCACCATCATCAAAACAAAGTTACCAAATCTTTATTCTGTCAAATTCTAATTAATAAATTTTTTATAGTAATAATCTATTAAAATAATCAATTTCTTATAACTCTCTCAGTTTTGGTTATTTTTTTTTTTACTGGAACCTGATATTTTTGAAAATCCCCATTAAAAAAAAACAAATCACAATAATTTTTTTTTTATTTTTTTTTATTTTTTTTTTATTTTTTTTTTTTTAGATATCTTTAAAAAATTTTTTTATACAAATATTTTATACTTGCACCAAATTTTCTTTTTTTCTATACAATAATGGTGCGAAAACCTATTTTTATTTTTTTAATTAATTTGTTTTTTATTTATTATATCAATGGGCGTAAGTGCATCTTTTTTAATATTAAAATAAACAGTAATTAATTTATTTATTAATTTTTTTTTTTTAAAAAAACAATTATTTAAGTATCTATATCTGGGTATCTTCAAGAGGATAGTACATTTTATTTATATGGGGATTTTGCTGGTAACTCACCTTTAACTCTAAAAGTTTATATGGGCCCTATAGAATACAATGATAAAGATATTACTCTATCTGGTGATGCGAAAACCATTTCTTTTATTTTAAAAGAAGGTTCCAAGAATAAAGATTTAATATTATATGACATATTTGGTAATACTGAATATAACGAGGTTGTTTTAAAGCCAAAGATTACTCAAGTTACTCCATCTCCTCTTCCTACTTGGTCAACTACGTCACTACAAATTTATGGTACTTATATTGATGCTGCAACAGGCCCAAGCAATATAGTAGTTTATCAAGACGAAAAACCAATTGATTTTTCAGCTGCATCAAACATCTTAACGGTGACTCCCAATCAAGGCGCAGGCAGATCAATATTTACAGTAATGGTTGATGGTAAAAAATCTGATGGATTTTATGCATATTATGTTGCACACACTATAACCCTCATAACAAATCCAATATATTCATCTTTAGACTATTTAACAATTACTGGTAATAACTTTTCACCCAACTCAAAAATTGACACTAAAATAAAATTTGGAAATAATTATTGTTCAGAGATTATCAGCTTTAGCATCACCACATTAGAGGCTAAATGTGATAATAGTGTTCCATACACAGGAAATATTATTGTAGAAGTTAATATAAATGGTGTTCCTGTAAGTGGTACCACATTCTATGCACCAATAAGCGCAAGCTCTACTGCAGTTCTACTAGATGGCTCAATAGAGCTCTCAATTAGAAACTATTCTCCAGGAACAACATTCAAACTAAGTGGTATCGATGTCACCTCTTATTGCATCCTTACTAAAAAAAATGGGACTGTTTCTGATTTTTCCTGCGATATTCCAAATAATGTAAAAATAAATAGTGGTCCTGTAGAATATCAAGATGCATTGGGAATAAGAGCAATTTCTACTATTGATCTAATTCCCTACCCAACTTCATTCGAACCAAATTTAGATTATAAATTCCCAACACAAGGTCAAAAATTAACTATATTTGGAAAATACCTCAATAAGGATGATTCACAAGGTTCCTCAAATGAAGTTAAAGTTCACTACGGTAGTAATACTTATGATTCAAACAATATAGAATTTATTGATGCAAATACATTCAAATTTCAAATACCAAGTGGTAGTGGGAATACAAACCCTTTGTTTTTTACATCACACTCATTTACAAATGCACTAAAGTCATTTAACATCATCTATAAAAACCCCTCAATTTACTCATCGAATATTAACAACAATATAGTTACTTTAAATGGTAATGATTTTGGTGATGATAAAGGTTTAATAACTATATGGTATAATGATAATAAAATACCCACAGATTCTATTCAATTAACTGTTCCCCATCAACAAATCCAGTTTTCATCCTCTTCCAGCCCTAGATTATTCAATATTACTGTGAATGGTTTATCATCACCAGACTATATTCAACCCAAAGTAATAAGTTCAAGCTCATTATTCCCAAATAACCCTGGTAATATCACAATCACTGCTAGCGACTTCCAACAAAACGATTTAAAGGTATATGTATCTAATATAGAATGTTTGAACCCCTATGCACCTGACTTAACAACAATTATTTGCCACTATGATGCCTCTGTTAAACCAGATCAATTTGGACGTGCGTTAAACATATCTATAACATCAGTTGGGTTAACAGGAACAAATGAAGTATTCTATTACTATGATACAAATATTGAATGTCCATTCAAATGTTCTAACCATGGTGCATGTAATAATAAAACTGGTGAATGCTTGTGTAATGATGGATGGAAAGGTCTATATTGTCAAGAAGCAAGTGGATCTGTTCAACTACCACCACCAATTATAGATGAAAATGGTAATACAATTATAATAGGTGGTTCTTTAAATTTTACTGTTTCAATATTATATTTAAGAGAAAATAATATTTTAGGTGAACAAGTTAGATATTTATCATTTTCTAAAGATTTAACATGGGATAATAGAACTAAAATAAATGAAACAAAACATTATTATAAAGGCAAATTTATTGACAATGGACCAACAGTCGAATTAGATGTAAACTATTATAAAGAAGAAACACTTTTCAACTTTGCTGGTGAAGAAATAACAATTCCATCAAACTCTATGAAATATGTAATTAGTATCTCAAACTACCAGTTTGACTCTACAACAAATACCCTCGAAGTTATCTATAGCTCTAAAACCAAACTACATTCAAGTAATGATTGTAAATCAATTAAAACCAATGACGAATACTACTCATCAAACAATGATACCCAAGAAGAATCGATTAATTGGTTTCAAGTAAACTCTGCAGATACAAGTTTTCAAACAAAATTTTCAAAAAGAGTTTTTGTTGATGATAAGGTTAGAAAATCAACAACGAAAATACTAAACTATAACGATCCAATATATAGCGATTTTAATAAAACAAATAATATTCAAGATAATGACGAAAATGACTATAACAAACTCATATCTATTGGAATGCCATACTTTTCAAATAAGGTATCAATGGATCCCAGTTTTAGTGCCCTATTAAGATCACCAACAGATAGTTGTAATAAGAAAAATTGGAAATTACCTTTAATTTTAACTTTATGTATAGTAGGTGGTGCAATTATTGTAATAATAACAGCCATTGTAATAAAAAGAAATAGATCAAAACTTTTAGAAAAAAATTTTATAATCAAACTAAGAAGATTAAGATATAAATAAAAAAAATAAATAAATATAAATAATATAAAAAATATAAAAAAATATAAATAAAATACAAATAAAATAATAATTTTAAATAAATTGTTTTATTTATTCGATAATTTTTTTAAAAGAGTTTAATATTTTAAAAAACTATGATTTTTTGTTGCTATTTTCAACAAAATTTTAACTATGTAATATTACTGGATATTAGACTATTTACATTTGGCTGTTTTTTGTTTTGTTTTGTTTTGATTTTTATACATATTTTTTTTAGTGACATTGACAAAAATCGTGTGGTATACCTAATTCATTACAAGTAATGTCATCTTTAATATCTCCAAGTAAACCTTTTTCTTCACGCTTTCCGTCTGGGTCAGAGGCATCTATGCCACCAAACTCTGGATATCTTGAGAGTGCTCTAAATGTATCGTATAATTGGAATGGTGTTGCTAATTGATTTTCGTTTTCTAAAAGTTTTTGTTCTACCTCTGGATATTTATCTGTAAACCAAGTTGGAAGTACAATGTAGAGCAATGGCATTGCTACTTCGATTTTACCACCTTTAGAGAATACATAGTATGCACCCATATGTGAACCATGGTCACTAACTAAGAACAAAGCAGTATCGTTAAGACGAGGTCTCATATCCTTGTCGATGAACTTTTGGAACTGTTTATCCATAATACCAATTACTTCCATAGTACCCTCGTGAGCATCCATTAAAGTAGCAGTTGCAATTTTACCAACATCCTTATAGTTATCCCAATATTGATTGATGTAATCAAAGATACGTTCGTGTACATGCTTTTCACCTAAACAACGACGACGGATTGAATATGGGCCATCAAAAACACCAAATGGTCTTTCGGCCGGATGTAAATGTGGTGAACAAAATGGTAAAGCTAATTCGTGGTCAACTGAGCCCTCTGGCTTGTCGACTTCGAGATAACGCTGGTACCAATCTTGACATAAACCTGTGATCCAAGTATTAACATAGGTATCGTTTCTAAAAGATTGATAAAACATTGGATTTTTTTCCCAAGAGAACTCTGAACGATCACCAGCATTAATTCCATTTTTGTAATCTATTTCGTCATAACCTACTCTATTTAAGCCATTGTACATTGCCATAGTATTTGGATCGGAGAATGGTTTCAATGAATGGTATCTAAAGAATTGGAAAATCTTGGAGTGACCTTGCTTTTGAATTTCTTGTAAGGTTTCATAAGTTGTTGGTAAAGCACGTTTAAAGTGAGCTCTTGATAAAGCATCGATCATTAAAAATAAAATGTCGATTGGTTTCTCTCTCTCCTTTTCGTCCTTTGCTGGTGTTGCAATCTTTACTTTTTCTGGATGAACCTTTGGACTATTGAAATTTCCTTTGACTCTTTCGTGTACACTATCATCTCTGACATTGTGGAAGAGAATTTCAGTTTTATTACCACAAGTAGCCATAACAGTTTCGTGGGTAATCTTTACTGGACCTTTAAATTCGAATGATGCTGTTTTATCTTTATATTGATTTTCAAAAACTGCAAAATCGCTTGTAAATGTACCAAAATGTTTTAAATCGTCCCAAAAAGTAGGTGATACTGTGTATTGTTTGAAATCTTCTTTGCATCCATCCATTGTTAAAATACCATTTTCAAGTTTAGAAAAGGTATCCTTTGGGCACTCTTGACTTCCTGCAACAATCCATGTTGATCCTTTTGGTTGGAATGCTGGCCATACTATAAAGCTGTCATCGATTTTACAAACTTTGCTATTATTTTCATCTTTGTACATTAATTTTCTACCTCCAAAACCATTTGGCCAATCTTTTAATATAAATGCATTTCTACTTTGGAATAAAATATATAAACCTATAAAAAACAATGTAAATCTAATAGCAATCTTTTTTAAAGTCCAATATCTTTTTTTTTTACAATCAAAAAGTTTAAAATTAGTAATGGCGAGGGAAATAAAAAAAATAAAAAAATCCTTACTTTAATAAAATCCACCAAAATAAAAATCCAAATAGATAAACTATTAAAATAGCTGAAAAGGCAATTAAATTATATTGACCATGATGAATTAATGAGGTGTCTGTGTCACTTGTTACCTTCAAAAGGGAGCTGACTAAACCTGCTGTAAATAAAAACAATAGTAAATTACGGTAAGAGTTGAGAGATATGTTGTATTTTTTTAAAATGCTGTTGGTTCCAAAGACACTATTGCTATTTGTGTTATAAAAGTCATATTTCTTGTAGTTGTTATTACTATTTATAGTTTCTGTTAAATTATAAATTATTTTTCCTAAACTGCTGAAACCAGATACAAATAATATTGTTGAAAATAAAATATAAACCCCAAAAACTCCTAAATGCTCGTGGATCCATTGAACATCTTTTTTACCTTCCAAACTCCATCCATAAAGTATTTGAGCAAAGTATATACAACCAAATGAAAATAATGGAAAAAATTCTTTATCGAATAAATTTTTAATTTTCATAATATTGTGTTTCCTATTTTTCTCTTTAAAATTATTTATACTGTTTATTATATTATTATAGAAAATATTTATATAATGTACTAAAGAATTAAAGTACATTATATTTTTATCATTTAAATTTTTTATTTTCATTTTTATCTTAATTTTAAAAAAAAAAAAAAAAAAAAATTTTTATTTTGTTACAATTTTAATATTATTTTAATATTAATTATTATTTAATTATTGCTATCTATAGTAAGGTAATGTGTATGGTGTGAGAAAAAGGGGGGTGATAGACATAAAAATTTTCTAAAGCACACACTAAATTTAAAAAAACACTGTATTTTTTTTTTTCTATTTTTAAATTTAACACACAAAGAAAATTAAAAATAATTAAATTAATAATTATAAATATAAATAAAATAAAAAAAAATAAAAAAAAGGGATTAAAGAAAATAGTTATTAAAAAAAAAAAAAAAAAAAAAAAAAAAAAGAAACAATTAAATGAAAATAAAAAAAATAAAAAAAAAAAAAGGTTTTACTTTCAATGCTATATGCCATCTGACACCATTTGGAAAATAAATTTTATGACACCATTCCTATATTTTGGTGCTTGTTATAATTTTCAAATATTCATTTTTTATTTTTTTTATTTTTTTATTTTTTAATTTTTTAAATTATTTTCCTTTTTAATTTATTTTTTTTATTTTTTTCTATTTTTTGTCTTAAAAATAACGAAAAAAAACCGACAAAAAGGCAAACCAAAACAATTTATTTAATTTTATATTATAATAAAAAAAAGAGATATTTTTAAAAAAAAAAAAAAAATTATTAAATAAGATGAAAAAAATAAAAAATAATAAATACGTAATTTATTTATAACCGTGTACAAAAAAAACAGTTATTATAAATTTTTTATGTTAATTAAAATATTTTTTATAACATCAACCTTACAACATCACTTCGATCAATCCAAGAAAAAAAAAAATCATTTTATTGTTTCATGAATTTTTTTTTTTTCCGCTTCTCCATGATTTTTTTTTTATTCCAAACCCAATTTATTTTATAAAACACATTTTTTGCATTATTTTATCATTTTTTTTATGAATTTCAAAATTATTTATTAAATATTAAATATTTAAATATTTAAATATTTAAATATTTGTCATATTTAATTTTATTATTTATTAAACTATTAGGAAATTGATTTTTTAAATTGATTTTATTTCGCCAAGTTAAATCAATTGGTTTTGTTGTTTTGACAATTGATGAACATCTTACCTCCCAAGTTTGTCCATCATGCATGATCACCCATGGGCCACAACTTTAAAATACTCATTAGATAATAAAAATATTTTTATTTAATTTTTATTTAATTTTTATTTAATCTTTTGGAACAATTAGTATTTCATTAATTTTCCCAAACTATTTAATTTTTAATTAATTTAATAATAATAATAAAAAATAAAAATTTTAAGAAATTGACAAAAAAATTTTTTTTTATTTTTTTCATTTTTTTTTTTTTTTTTATTTTTTTTGAAAATAAATGATTATAATAATAAGTGAATAATAATAAATAATTCATTATTATATTTATAACAATGATAATTAGAAGAGTTAATGTAAATGGTGTTAGATACTATGAAGTTAATGGTGGTAAATACCCATCAGTATCATCAATTTTAAAAATTATCACGAAAACTCAATATAAACAATATAAACATGATAGGATTAAAGAGATTAATTTTACTTTAGAGAAAAAATATCCAAATGTAAAAAAAAAAAGGTTATCACATATTGCAAAAAGGTCTTTTGGTCTAGAAACAACAAATAAATTATATAATGGTGCAAGAGTTGGTAGTGCAGTTCATGAATTAATCGATGAAAATGTTTGTCAACAATTAGAGGAACAAGCCCCCAGTAACAATAGCAGTGATTCATTAACAAATTTAATTAGTTCTAAAGAATTAGAGATCGAAATTGATTCCAAAAAAGAATATGAAGCCAAAAAAAGGGAGAAAAAAGAGCAAATCGAACTACTTCGTAATTTCAAGCAATTAAATAAAAAGAATAATAGAAAATCATTTGGTTATGGATTATCAAAAAATAATATCCAAGTAATTGAAGAAGATAAATTAAATCCAACAACAACAAAAACAACAACAACAACAGAAACAACACCAGAAAAAACAACAGTTATGGAAACAACAGAAACAAATACTGCACAAAATAATATACAAGTAATTGATGAGGCCAAATTAAATCCAACAACAACAAAAACAAAAACAAAAACAACAACAACAACAACAAAAACAACACCAGAAAAAACAAATACTGCACAAAATAATATACAAGTAATTGGTGAGGCCAAATTAAATCCATCAACAACAGACACAACAACAGAAAAAACAACAGTTATTGAAACAATAGAAAAAAATACTGCACAAAATAATATACAAATAATTGATGAGGCCAAATTAAATCCATCAACAGCAGCAGAAACCACTGCAACAAATACTGCAAAAAAAGAAGAAAAAAAATTAGAATTACAAGAGGAACAAAAAGAGGAACAGGCAAAAAAAGAAATAGGTATTGGTAGCCTATTTTTTGAAGATGAAGAAACAGAAGAACAGGAAGAAAAAGAAACAGGTAAATATGACCTGTATTTTCAAAAGGTTTCAGAGAATAATGAAAATGAAGCAGAGTTTAAAAAAATGGTACATCTGATTCAACTAAAGAATGAAAGTTTTGATATTGGTCTATACAATGGAAGTGTTGAAATAGGAGTTGAATCATATAAACTATGGGAAAAAGATAATAACGGAGAACTTAAGTTTGAAAAGAGTGATTCATTTGTATACTCTGTCAAACATGGGTATGCAGGTGCATGTGATGCAATCGTTAGAAAAAAGGATGGAACATTAGCAATATTGGATTGGAAGACTTCGAATAAAATAGATTCAAAATATGCACTCCAGGTATCAGCTTACGCAAAGGCAGTTGAAGAGTTAACTAAAGAAAAGGTATCAGAGGCTTTGGTTATAAAATTAGGACATAAATTTGTTGGTTATAGTGTTCACAAAGTAAAAAATATTGATAAATGTTTTGACTTATTTTTAAGTACCCTCAAACTTTGGAAATTCATTGAATCAACTGATCCTTTTACAGTTATAAGTCAATCAAATTCAACTAAATACTCAACTTCATACAATCATAAAACCAATACATATTCTACAAACTCCACAGATTACTCTGGTAAAATTCAAAAAGAAGTAGCTGCCAATACCACAGCCACCAATACCACAGCCACCAATACCACAACCACCAAAAACCCCAAAACCACAACCACCAACACTACAACCACCAAAACCCCCAAAACCAACAAACCCTCACCAGCTTCTAATAACAACAGTGGGTTTTTAATTCCTAATTCAGTAACAAAAATTAAACTAAAAAAACCAAAAAAATAAATATAGTTATACTGTTCCCCTTTTTTTTTTTTTTTAATTAATTGTTTATAAAAAAATAACTCTCGTTATTTTCTTTTCTTTTTTTTATTTATTTACATTCTTTTTTTTCTTTTCTTTTTTATAGTTATAAATTATTGTTATTTATTTAAATTGGAGCTGAAAACATATATAAGCATAAAATTAAGAATGCTAAAGTCGACAGGAATACAACTACACAGACTATAATACCCAATGCTCTAAATACTTTTGGATTGATTTGTTCTCTAGGCAATGACATTGGATTGTTTATTCTATAATAATAAAATGAATGTTAGTTTATATTGCAATAAAACTATATATATATAATGTAATGATATATATGACTTACTGAGCATTATAAAGACTATTGTTTCTATTTAATATAATGTAAAAAAATATTAACCCTAAAACAGACCAACCTATAACTTTCCCGAAGCTATATTGGACCCAGTCTAAATGGTATTCGACATTACATGGGTGTTCATTACCAAGATTGGCCATTAAAGAATCAAAATTAATTGATTCGTAGTTTTTAGGTTTGGGACATTCAATTCTTAATTTAGATAGTTGAACATTCTTTGATATGGCATTTGGGTGACATTTCCAAATAACATCCCTGCTATATATATCGAGTTTGGATGATTTACATGTTAGATATAATACTTCTTCTGAAGATCCCATTGCAGTTCCACCAATACATGTTAATTGTGATTTTTTTGAATCACCTGGAACTTCAATATTTTTTGAAAATTTTAATATAGGTTTGTAATTATTTGTTTTTGATTGTTGCTGTTGCTGCTGCTGTTGCTGGTTTGGTGTAGTGTCACCATTTGCTTTTATTATATTGCTATCATTTACAAAATAAACTATAAAAATTATTATAAATAACCTTATAAGTATATTCCGATTAAATTTTATTATCATTTCTTATATCTATATATGATTTATAATGCTCTTTTATCTATTTGTTTTTTCTTTTTTTATATATATACATAATATTATTTATTTATTTATTTATTTATTTATTTTATTTGTTCTCGCTTTTAGGTTATATACATAAAAAAAAAAAATGAAATTAATTTTTAAAAAAAATAAAAAAATAAAAAAATAAAAATTAAAAAATAAATTAAAAAAAAAAAAATTAAATTAATTTTTTTTTTTTTTTTTTTATTCAATTAGTCAATTGTCAATGATCAAAATCGCACTAAAACAATTATAATTGGATATTTTTTTTTTTTAGGCCATTATTTCGTATGATAGTTATATCAAAAAAAAATATTTTATTTTTTATTTTTTATTTTTTTATGATTATAACCAAAAAGCAATTTTTAATTTAATTTTTGAGATTTGAATAAAATTTCAGAATTTTCGATAAACTTTCTTGATTGTACTAATCTTAATTCGTAATATTCTTTTCCTTTGTTGGAGGGTATTGATTGTTTGGCTTTATGGGTTTCTTTGATAATATTGTATAAAATTGATGTTGCTTTTTCGCATACTAATGATAAGTCTGAGGGTTCTTTGATGCTCCAACCTAATAAAAGTGAACTGAATAAATCGCCTGTACCGGTGTAATAATCTGTGAATTTGGGACCAACTGTAATTTTGAATTGATCATAACCTTGGTTGATATCCTCTTTATTTTTTAAACTACTTCCAATTACAATGATATCATTGGGATTGCTATCGAAAAATAAACTTGTAATAACTACATTTTTAACACCCATTTTATGAAATTGGTCAATCGCTTTTAATGCATCTTGTTCATTATTAATTTTAATACCTGTTAAAAATTCAACTTCAGTTTGATTTGGGAATATATAGTCTGCGTGTGGTATGACTTCATTTTTATAAACTGAAACTAAATCGGTTGGTACATATAATGCATTATTATCACCCAATACTGGATCGCAAACTATATTATATGTGAATATAATTAATTAGTATTTATTTATTTATATTATCAATATGTATATGGTGAATCATTATTAATATTATTATTACCATAGATTAAATTTGGATTTTGAGTTTTGAGTTTTTTAATAATATTTAATACGGTATGTAGTGTTTCAGAATTGTTATTATAACCAGTTAGCACATGAGTATAGGAATCTGTTAAATGATTCTCTTCTAAACCTTGAAATAAATCCATTAGTTTTGGTGGTGTTAATGATTCGCCTTTCCAAGTTGAATATGCTGTATTATTTGAAAACTGTACACTAAGAATTGGATCGACTTCAATTCCCAAATGTTGTAATGCAAATACTGCGCATTTATTACCAACATATCCATGACATACCCATGATTGAATAGATAAAACTTTTGGCTCCATAATATGTATATGCTATTTTTATAATTTTTGTATTGTTACTATATTACTTAATGGTAAATTTATTATTAATAATGACAATTAAAATTTAATATTGAGCTGGATGTATTTCAAAAAGATATTTTATTATTAATATTTGGTGAAATATAAAAAAATGAAAAATTAGAAAAATGAAAAAAAAAAAAAAAAAAAAAAAATTTAATTTAAAAAAAAAAAATAATTTAAAAAAAAAAAAAAAGTTTAATTATTTTAAATTTTATAATTAAATTAATATATATTGGTTTTTGATTTTAATTTAAATATAAAACACCTCAAAATTATAAAACATGGAACTTTTCACCGAAATCAGTTTGAAAAAAAAAAAATGGTGTTGTTATAAATGAGGTATTTTGATGTGTTTATGTAATTTATTTTTTACAAAAAAATTATACAAAAATAAAACTTTTGTTGATCCTCAAATTGAATATAAAATCTTTATTTATTTATATATATTTAATATTTTTATTAATGGAAAAATAAAATATTTCAACAAAATATGAATTTTATTTTACCCACACCCACTCCTTATTTTTTTAAATTAAAAATTAATGATAAATTAAGGTAGAGTTCTTCATATCAAAATTATTATTGGTAAAACATATTTTATTTATGATTTAATAAAAGTTGGGTTTCTTTTAATTTTATTTATTTTTGTTATTTTTTTATTTTTTTATATTTTTCTTTTGTAAAAAAATTAAATCTTTACAAAAAGATAATTAATTTTTTTCTTTTAATTTATTTTTTTTCTTATTTTTTTTTATTTTTTTTATAATAATTAAAAATTATAGTTATCTTCAGTTTTAATAATCATTAGGGTATTCATTTAAAAATTTTTAGAAAAAATTATCTCTTTTTTAATAAAAAATTATTCATTTTAATGCATTTTTTAAAATTTACCAATACACAATAATTTTTTCTTTTTGCCCTTCTTTTAACTTTTTTCTATTTTTTTTTTCATTTTATTTTTTTTAAATTACCTAACACACTTAGTGAAGTGTTAAAAAAACTTTTAATTCAGAAGCTTATAGGGAATTCTCAAGTGGATTTTAACAAGAAACTATTATTAATTTAAATCAACCAAACCCAAAAAATCAATGAAATAATTAAAAATAGAGGTGGTTTAAAAAAATATTGAATTTTTTCAATTAATTAAATCTTCAACTACATTTGAAACATATTAGACTTTCATCTCTTTCAAGAAATGAAAATTTTTTTTTTTTATGTGTGTGACTTTTTTTTTATAATTTTTTTTGAGAAACCCCCTTGGGAAAATTAATGGAAAATATTTCCCACACAAAAATTTCAAAAAAAAATTTGCAAAGTTATCATTGTTAATATTTTTTTTATTATTTATTTTTAAATTATTATTTTTCATTTGCATATTTAAAGATGTGTGTGCATGATACATACAACTTCAATTTTTTATATGAAGCAATTGGCAGCGCCACATGTTTTGCTGTTATTAAAAATTTCATGACCGGTCAAGATCTTTTTCCTGATATTGAAAATGGATGCACCGAGGCCTGTAAAAAAAAAATGATAAAATATACCCAGTGTGTTTTCAAAAACTATATGAACTCTGTATGTTGGTATTACCATGATGTTAAAATTTTGGAGGACTATAATCCTCAAGATTATGGTTATTCAAGCTTTTCGGATTACAAGTCATCTATAGTAAATGGTTTTAAAGAGAAATATTCAAGATATTTCAACTACACACCACAAATCGAAGAAGGCACTAGTAAGTTTCCAGATTACCCAAATGTTTTAAATGATGATAATAACAACAACAATCAACAATAATTTAAATAAAAATTTATATTTTAGGTATTTTTTAAAGTTTTATAAATTTTTTTTTTTGTTTTGGGGGTCTATGTTTAATTGTTCTTAACCGAATTTTGGTTAAGAAAAAGGTAACTTTAGCGCTAAAGAATATTTTACACCTGGGTGGGGATCTACCATTAGCTAATAGTTGGTAAGGGTGTTAAAATAATATTTTTTCCCTTGTACCAACTTCAACGTTTTTAAAAATTCAACTGTGATTATACCATGACTTACTATATACCCCTAACCCAATTATCTATACCAAAGATATATTAAAATTATTGCCAAATGATTTTATTATAGGACCATTCTTTGGCAATTAGTTTTGTTTTAGAATTCCATTCCACCTATTTAATAAATTATTATTCATACCGATAATTGACATTTTTTATTTTTATTGTTATTATTTTAAATTTAATAGCAAAATTATAAATAATAAAAATGTTGTAGTTTAATTATTATTTAATTTAATTTTTTTTTTTTTTTTATTTTTTTTTTTTATTTTTTTTTTTCCAATTTACGAAAAAATTTTTTTTTATTTTTTAATTGTCATTTTTAATTTTAAAAAATAATTTCAAATTAAATATTATTATTTATAATAATAAAGTAGAACAAAATGGATAAGATTCAAAATGGATGGTTTAGTGAAATAAGTGAATTTTGGCCAGGTCATTGTTTTTCTTTGGAAGTAGAAAAAGTTTTACATCATGAAAAATCACAATATCAAGTAAGTTTTATTATTATTAATATAGAAATATTGTATTTAAATGTTAATATTTTTAATTTATTATAGGATATTTTAGTATTTAAATCAAAAAGTTTTGGAAATGTTTTAGTTTTAGATGGCGCAATCCAAGCTACAGAAAGAGATGAATTTTCATATCAAGAAATGATTACCCATATCCCATTATTTTCACATCCAAACCCAAAACGTGTTTTAGTTGTAGGTGGTGGTGATGGTGGTGTTTTAAGAGAAGTCGTTAAACATCCACTCGTCGAATCAGTTACCTTATGCGAAATTGACGAAGGTGTTATCAATGCATCAAAGAACTTTTTACCAAAGATGAGAGTTGGTTTCGAACATCCAAAAGTCACTTTATTCATTGGTGATGGTTTAGAATTCATGAGAAAGAGAAAAGGAGAGTTTGATATCATCATTACCGATTCATCCGATCCAATTGGTCCAGCCCAAGGTCTTTTCGAACGTCCATATTATGAACTCTTAAAAGAAGCTTTAGCACCAGGCGGTATTGTTTGCTCACAAGCTGAATCTTTATGGTTACATTTAGACACCATCAAAAACTTATCTGGTTTCTGTAAAGAACTTTTCCCACATGTCGAATATGCCTACACATCCATCCCATCATATCCAGGCGGTTCAATTGGTTTCATCCTTTGCTCAATGGGTGGCTCATGCAAAAAACCAGTTCGTGAAATTGCCTCTGATGTCCAATCTCAAATGCAATACTATAATGAAGAAATCCATAAAGCAAGTTTCGTTTTACCACAATTTGCTTTAAACAAATTAAATTTATAAATAAAATAAAATAAAAAGTATTTTTTTTTTTTTTAAAAGTATAAATTAATTATTACTATACTCTTTTATTAAATGTAAAGGTATTTTAATATTAACCATTGGTGATATTATTGTTAACCAACTTAATAAATAGTTTTTAATATTATTATTATTATCATCTACATTATTATTACTATTGTTATCGTTATTATCATTATCTACACTATTATTATCAGTTTCATCTTCAAAAACTTCATCTTTACTAAATCCTTCATTGTTTGTACTGTTATCTCTATTGGTAGAATTGTCATTGTCGTTGTTATTGGTTTTTTTAATTTTGTTTTTTAATAATAATATTTGTTCCATTAAATTATTAGTTTCGCATGGATGAAGTTGATATGTTGGTACACCTAAAATTGGATGTTCCTAAATTATAAGCAAATATAAATATTAGTAAACTATATGATGAATATAAAATTTAAATAAATTGAATATTTTATGAAATTTACAACTTGTGTTATATAAGGAGTGGATGAGAGTTGCTGTTTATCAAAACATGATAGTGGTAGTAAACTCCATAGTTCATCCCATGATAGTGGCTCTGTTGTAGACTGTTTTAAATAGCATCCATTTAAATATAAAACCGGTACTCTATATGACTTATTATATATAATATCATATTCGATAACTATTGTTTTAGAAGTTTGATTTGATTTTAATACAGATTCATCACTTTCTTCTATTATTTCTTCTTTATTAAATATATTGCTATTATTATTATTATTATCTATATTATCTACATTACTAATATTATTATTATTATCAATATTATTAAAAAATCTTTTTGTAGTAAGGTATCCTGTATCATTATTAATTTTTATCCAGCTCCATCCTATTTCGTTACTACTGTTTACACATTGGTTCCATCTTGTTAATAAAACATTGGATTGTTCGTTAAAATCTTTTAATGTTAGCATTTAGTTTAGTTGAAAGTGTTTTAAAATTTAATAAATGAAAAATTTAAAAAAAATTACTTTTTTTTTTTTAAATTTAAAAAAGAAAAAAAAAATTATGAAAAAAAAAATAGATATCCAATATATCCTAGTTTCCCAAGATATAACCAAGATATGTCCAGGTTGTTGAATGAGTCTTAGCTGCCAATTCTATTAAAAATAAAAAATTTACTATTTAATAAAAGTTTCTATTAGTTTTATGATTTTTATTATTAATTTATTTCAAAAGATGATGTTCTTATGTTAAATATACTAATATTAAATAAATCACATGTTTACAAATTTTTATAGATTTATGTGTAGATTTGATTGAGGTTTATTTTTAAAATATATAAAATTATATATATTTAATTATTTTATAAAATTTTTTATTTTTTTTTTTTTTTAAAATTTTTTTTATTTTTTTTTTTAAATTTTTATTTTTTAATTTTTCAATATAGTGATATGATCATTTTTTTTATTCCTCGTTTTTTAAAAATAATAATATAAAAAATGAATGGTTTAAATAACGATAATAATACTAGTAGTAGCAATAATAATAATAATAACAATATAATAAATACAAATAAAAAAGTTTACACATCAGGACGTCCACCATGGTATGACTCAAAAGGTAATTTAAAAGATCCATTAGTAATTGGTGTATGTGGTGGTAGTGCATCTGGAAAAACTACAGTTTGTGATAAGATTATTGCCAATTTAAATGTACGTTGGGTAGTACTTTTATCAATGGATTCCTTTTATTTAAATCTTTCAAAAGAAGTTGATCCAACCAAATACAATTTTGATCATCCAAGTAAATATCGAAATTATAATAAAAAATAAAAAAATATAAAAGAAAAAGTATTATTAACTTTATTTTATTGTATATAGATGCTTTCGATTATGATTTAATGGTTAAAACAATCAAAGATTTAAGAGCAGGTAAAAAAGTATCAATTCCAATGTATTGTTTCAAGACACACAGTAGATTACCACATAAAGATACAGTTTATGGAGCAGATGTTATTATTCTCGAGGGTATCTTAACATTGTACTCAAAGGAATTAAGAGATCTCATGGATATTAAAATATTTATTGATACCGATGATGATGTTCGTCTTGCAAGACGTTTAAAGAGGGATATCGCCGAAAGAGGAAGAACTTTAGAAAACGTTTTACATCAATACAATACATTTGTAAAACCATCATTTGACGACTATATCATTCCAGTAAATAATCATTCTTAACTTAATATTTAGCTATATTAACGTAAACTAACGAAATAATTTCATTAATAATAATAATAACTATAGTTAAAGAAATATGCAGATATTATAGTACCAAGAGGATCAGATAACATTGTTGCAATCAATTTATTAACAAATCACATTAGATTAAAATTAAAAGAAAGAGGTTTCGATCCAGAAAAAACAGCTGGTTTAAATTTAGATAATTTAGAGATGCCAAAAGCAATTCATGTATTAGAAGAAACCAATCAAATCAAAGCTATGCACTCAATCCTCAGAAATAAGAATACAAAGATTGGTGATTTTGTATTTTATTCAGATCGTTTATGTGCCCTTATTATTGAAGAGGCTTTAACCTATCTTCCATTCACCGATAAAACTGTTATCACTCCAACTGGCGCTCAATACCATGGTATGACCTTAAATGCCAAAGTTTGTGCCCTTATTGTTTTAAGAGCTGGTGGTTGTATGGAACAACCATTACGTAATATTTGTAAAGGTATTCCAACTGGTAAAGTTTTAATTCAATCCGATGAAAAGAAAAAACCACAAGTATATATCAACTAATAACTACTGCACATATACATACATACATACCCCATGATATGTCATTTTAAATAATTTTACTAACCATCATTATTTATATTTAGTTATTTTATGAAAAATTACCAGATTTAACAGACTCACATGTCTTAGTTTTAGACCCAACTATTGCAACAGGTGCCTCATCAGAAATGGCAATTAGAGTTTTATTGGATCATGGTGTTCCAGAAAATAAAATTATCTTTGTTAGTGTTATCACCTCACTTAAGGGTATCCTTTATTTAAGTTACAGATTCCCAGAAGTTAACTTTGTAGTTAGTGCAATCGATAAATCACTTTCGGAAGAAGGTTTTATTCTTCCAGGTATTGGTAATTATTCTGACCGTTATTTTGGAACCTCATGTAATTAATAGATTAAAAAAAAAAAAAAAAAAAAAAAAAAAATACTCTGTAACCCAATTTTTTTTTTTATCACATTAATTAAATCCACCAATATAATTAAAAAATATTACGAAATAAATAAGTAATTCTTTTTTTTTTTATTTGAATTTTTCATCAATATTTTGTTTTTTTTTTGCACTTGTTTTTTTTTAGATTTTTATTATTTTTTTCCTTTTTTTTTTTATATCAAAATTAAATCTTTTTTTTTTTTTTTTTATTTTTATTTTTATTTAAAATTACAATTGTTGAACAAAATATCTATATTTTTGAAATTTCAAAGTTATATTTATAAATATTATTATAATAAGTAATAAAAATAGTAAGTAGTTAAAATTGTGGTGTGGGTAAATTTAAAATAATAACAAAAATATTTGCATTAATAGGGTTTAAAAATAAATTAAATATAAATAATTATTATAATTTTTTTATTTATTTTTTTTTAAAAATCAATTTTTTTATTTTTTTATTTTTTTATTTATTTTTTTTTAAAAAAAAAATAAAGTATATTATTCTCATCAACTGATAAGTAATAAGTTATTTGTAAAAAATAATATTAAAGTAACTACATCATTTGTCACACAATAAAGATTCCTACCTTTTTTTTTTTGATATCAACCAACTTTCAAAAAATTTAAAAAAAAAAAAAAAAAAATAAATTTTATCGTACAAAAATTTTTTTTATTTTTTATTTTTTTTTTTTAATTTTCATTTTTTTTTATTTTATTTTTTTCATTTCATTTCATATTTATTTATTATAACAGATATATTATTTACAAATATTCTATATTTATATATATATATATTGTTTATTTATTTATTTATTTATTTTATATTGTAATATATATCTTTATATATTTTAATTTTTTCGAATTTTTCTAATTTTCTAATTTTTTTCTCATAGATATATATAATTTTATATATAGTAGAATTTATAGTTAGTTTTGGTAAATAGTAATATAAAGCTGAAAGAGACTATAAAAATAAAAAAATGAAGAATGAAGGGATTATCAAATCATCTCAAGTTTTCATTTTTTTTATTTTAATTTTAATGTTGACAAGTAATAATTCAGTTATCAGGGCTACAAGCAGCAATGAATTATTACAACAACAACAACATAATAAACAAAATAAAAAACAGCAACAACAACAACAGTATACTGACGATTCAATAATATTTATTCAAAATAATATAAATGAACAAAATATAAAAAAGCAAATTGGGTTTCATTATACTTTTACACAGGAATCAAATATGCCCACTTTATTTGGGAATACTTTTATTTTAAGTGAAGGTTCAAGTTTAATAGGTGGAGGAACTGTCGATCAGCAGCTACAGCAATTACAGCAATTAGCACAACTTCATCAGCAACAACACCATTCTAATATATTACAAAGATCATTCATTAAAGAGAATGGGGTGGATCAATTATCTTCACCATTAATAGCTACGAATACAAATAAAAAAAAAAATAATAATAACAACAACAACAACAATGATAACAGTGTTAATTTAGTAGGTTTAAAAACTATTTCAACTTTATCATTAGATTTTGTATCATCATTTAAAAAATCATATTATCAATATCAACATGTAGTTGTAAATAGTAATAGTAATAATCATGATAATGATAACGATAATAAGATTAATAATAATAATAATAATAACAATATTAATAATAATAAT